ATTTATTTATTTATTTATTTATTTATTTATTTATTTATTTATTTACGTACATATATTTATAGGACAAATGGTTGACCAAACCGCGTCATTGATACGAGCAAGAAAGTCAACGCGGCAACTGCAAAACTGAAAAAGATAATATATTATTTAAATGAGGCATTTACATATGTACCGCCAAATTCTTATTTATATATATATTTAACACCGAAATGCCAGATATATTATATATATATATATATATAAAAGATTGTCAGAAGCTATTGTACGAGACTCACCTCCTTAAGGCCAAGTTTGCCAGAGGATTCGAACCCTCGACCTGAGGGGTCTTATACCCTGGATGTCAACCAACGGGTCGGGGTAAACGACATGTTTAAGTGTTAGATATATAAATGCATGTAAGTTGAATTGTATGTATGTAAATCTTCCTATTTAAATTTTGGATGGAGAGTGATTCAAAATTGAAATCTTAATTAGGCGGCATTTTATATACACTAAAACAGTCAGTATGAATCTCAAAGTAATCGAGCGGCACCGATGGCGTTCAGAGAATCATGGCATCCTACCGTCCAAAGAGCAACCTCGCGATCAGAACCAACCAAGACATGTTCAAGTTAGCCGGTACGGCAGGCGAGATCTTTATTCGATCGGGCGCCTCAACCAGCCAACATTTATTTTGGAAGGCGGAATCGTCGCTCAATTGGTCTCCTCAGCCGATCGAACTCAAGAAGGCCGACCAAACAATTATCGTTGTATTAGAATTCATATTGTAATACAGATATTATATAAAACTTATATGATTAATTAGAATATTAATTGTATTAAAAACGGTTTTCATGACTATTTTCTCGTTTCTGTAATTGTACGAATACACACCTATAAATAGAAGACTAAATAACAAATAAAAGGATCTTAAAAAATAAAATACAACAATTCATGACATAAAAATATTATAAATAAAAATATTAAATACAGAGGAATTATTTGGAAGACAAGCATGTAAATTTCTCTTTAATTATTTAGAAAAGCATTTATAGTCAACTCGCCATTTATAAAGTCCATTTCAAGTTATTTAAATGGGAACATTCATCAATCAATAAACATCAACTATTCTCAAGCTCCCCATAATTATTCAACACATATAGCTTCATATTAATAGTTCAATAAATAAATCAATTTTCCTCACTCCAACATAAATGAGATTATCAATAGTCTAGCTCCACACCTATCTCTATCATTTAAGAGAGAGAGAGAGAGAGAGAGAGAGAGAGAGAGTATGAACATTTCTAATAGTTTACGGCTTTTCATCTGATCGCGTTCTAGCTCGTTTGGCTAAATCAGTTGACTTCGGGTGGATGGGGTCTGCTCGGTTGGGTGAGCTTGGTCAATGTGATCCAGTCAGTTGAGCTGATCCAACCTAGTTAACTGGCCTCAATCCCTTATGAGGAGACTTTTGGAGTCTCTTTGGGATAGTTGGAGATATTTTGTGGAGCTAGATATTTTCTTTTGGTCGACTCTACTAAGAGATAGGCTATCGCATTGAGCTAGTTGTATTATAGCGGTTGAGTCAGTTGCTCTCTCATCTCATTTTTGTCGTCTGGATGGTTTGTGCTTGAATCATTCTGTCATCTTCTCGTGACTCAGTCGATTTTGACTCTATTAGCTTGGCTCGTTTGCCCTAATGGCCCCAACGATCTCCTGACAATGGGCATGTTTTCATCATTACATTTTCAATCTACATTATAAAAATGTATATTTCACCTTTTATAAGTTAAAGTTGAGATATTTTTTATAGTATGTGAAAATTTTGACTCGTAAAATGTAAAAACCAAATTCTATTGTTTGATATGTAAATAAATAGATATTGGGTGGTATGTTTCTAAATGTCCATTTTTTCGGTTGCTGTAATTCTTATTATATGATAATTATTTCAACTACAAAATGTAATAATGAAAATTTACATGGAAGTCACCCAATTCTTAAATATTTATATATCAAATACCTAAACTTTAATATTTACAAAATATAACATTTTGGGATATAAGTTTTGCATGAAAAAATATATTTGCCTTTTAAGAAGTTAATCAAAATAAAATTTTTTGAGAATTTTACATATAAAATTAAAAGTTAAATGTCGCGGACAAAAAGTCTCACATCGACTAGGTGTATGACTGAAGAACAGAATTTAAGTCTTGGGTTGTCCACTACCCCGAAGAGCTCTTTTGAGAGGTGACAAGTGGTATGAGAGCATATTACTGTTTGTCAGGTGTGTGGATTGTCCATGGTCCAGTGGGGTCCTTAATGGAGTCGATCCGTGACGAGGGTGTCACGTGAGTGGGTATAGGAGAATGTCAAGGACAAAAAGTCTCACATCGGCTAGATGTAAGACCGAAAAACAATATTTAAGTTATGTGTTACCCATCACCTCATATAGCTCTTTTGAGATGTGACATTAAGCACTAGATAAGTAAATAAGAGCTTTAAACCGGTTTAGGGAATTTTAAACCGGCCGACATTATCCGGTTCAATTTATAATTCTGAATTATATCAATCCCATTTGAAAAAAAGTCTCCTTTTACGGCTTAAATCATTGAAATATAAAATTTCTAGAAAAAAATTTGCATTTAATAAAACAAAAATTCCCCCAACCCTCCACCTCATGTTACGTCATGCCACGTAGCAAAACCATCCAATCACATGTAGTCAACAAACTGATCTTGACTTTCGCTCTCTCCGCTGCCAGGCCAAATTCAAAACGACGACTTTACTAACGAGGAGGGAAGCTCGCTGGAAGCTCTGACGAGTTCAGCCCATGAAATCCAAGCTGGTAAACAAACTATGAATCTTAAGGGAGTAGATATAAAGAGAGAAAGCATTGACCTTGTCTTCCTCACACGAAAATCTCAGCTTTTTCATATAAAGAGGGAAAGA